TCATTGGCATCGTTTTAGGCTTTGCCAAACATTGAAGACCTGTATGGCAAGAAGATTCATGGACTTCTGGCAGAATCTTCCAGGATTGGCTCACTTCAAGGCGTTTATTCACTCTTCGAAGCTTGATAACAAACAGTTGTTGGACTACAGTCTACAATGTCTAACAGGCCTTCTTACAGGTAACTTCAATTTGAATCATCATATGCAGAGACTCGGACTGTCGGAAGACAGTGTGTGTTGCCTCTGTTTGGAAAATGATGAAACAGCAGAGCACATACTTTGTGCCTGCCCCGCTGGGGATCGAATTAGGTTTTTAGAGTTCGGCAGAGCCGTACTCTTACCATCTGACCCGAAAGACCACTCACCATACATACTAATCGGCTTCTCTCTCTAAACTCTTGCGGGATGAGATGGAGGTCGAATAGACCCAGTCACTTTGGACCTAACCTAATCTAACCTCATTTACCGTACGACCATGTGGCAAGAACTCCTGATACACTACGCTACGATAATTGAAGAACACAGTGAGTAGAACCTTGACATTTGATCGAACTTAGCGTGCTCTTTGCGAGCTATAGAATCTTTTATTAGGCGCTTCCCATCTTCAAATTTAAATATAACAAAGTGAGTGTCAAAATTTGGTAAAAATTCATATTGAATATAGAATAAAGGAAATAACTTTCGTCTGATTTCTACTAAGTTTTTTATTTGTTACGACCGGTTTTAGTTTGTTAAACCATTGTCAAGAAACCATTTTTAGTAAACAGTAGAAACCAGTTATTTCCTTCATCTTATATTCTAAGTATGATATTATCGAAAATATTTAATTCGTTTGAAAGACATCTTGATGACATTATGTGTGGAATATAACATCGTTCAAATGTCCGACACGACCGAAACGTCCAATTTTCCATAACTTTGGCGCATAAATCAGGCTAAATTTGACCGATGGCATGGGTTATGTTGGCTTTGAGGACCGCTATGGTTTGTGGCTCATTCGCATACACCCGCAACTTGAGGAAAATCTCACAAGAAAAAATCTAACCGGGTCAAATCGCACGACCTCTGTGGCCAGTTCACATCACCTCCACGTGAGATGTCCATGGCCTCAAATCGCTCGTGCAGAATACGTGGCATGAACTGTGTGGCACGTAGCGTCGTCCTGTTGAAACTACATGTCGTTGTTATCCAGATCATCCAATTCAGGCCAAAAGAAGTTGATAATCAACCACCTCACAAAGTGCGGTGAAGTTTTTGGCAAATCTTTCGTTTCTTCTACTTACGGGTGTTAGTCGATCGTTACTGGCCCAGTAGATTCAAATTTATCCGCCACATTGTGAATAGTCCGATTATGGCAAAGCGTGCGCTCCGTTGTCCGAAGAGAACACCCATTTTGTTAAAATAATTTTATTATTTGCACGTGCTGTTGAATGGTAATTTGGCAAAACAGACTGAATAAACGGCAACTAATTTCACACATGTAGCTTCAACAGGATAATCGTTATCAATTGTCAAAATTTGGAAGTCCCTGTTAAAATAAGACTATATGAAAGCGAAATGTATATTGATTAGATTGGATTAGATTGTCGGGGAGCTAGCCCATGGCCTGATTCACTGCGACTTTTTCAGATCTATTGTGATGCTCATTGGTTGTTAGAGCTTACTGTCTAGCTTGATATGTTTGATGAGACTCAATAACCTTGACACTGACCCCTTCATATAGCTGGCAGCCTCTGGTTTCTCTTCCCCGCATCTTGCGTGTCTCAGCCTTGCTATCTCTTCGCATTCACAGAGCAAATGCAGTGCGGTTTCTTCCTCTTATTGACAGAACCTGCATTGGGTTTCTTCTATCAGACCCATGTTGCTCATATGTTTCCTGAGTCAGCTATGCCCCGTTAGTAGACCCACCACTACCCTTACAACTTTACCGTTGTGGTTTAGCAGGTCTTCCGTGAATCTAGTAGATGGTTCCCAGGAGCTTATTCCATCAATTCATCGATTTGGCTTGCATCCATGAATTTATGGATGTCTTTATACATGCTTTCGCTACACCGCAGAAGGGTTCTGGGCCGATCATAGCCTTGGATGCGCCTTCACGGGCTATTTTGGGTACTCCTTGAGTACCCAAAATAGGGTACTCAAGGAGACAGCTTCCCACCAGTCTTGAGAAGACTTGAAATAAGCTGAGCGCCTTAAATACCGCCTGGTTGTCGGAGAAAAATGGCAATGGTCTTATTTCAGACCTTCTGCCTGTTTATTTCCTCTAAATGTGTAATGATACTTTTGTTTTGACTTTTCATTCCTTTCTCCTTTTGTGACGTTAACCACTATATAAGAGGCGAGAACCTCTTGTATCAGTGACAACACTATCTATAATCGGATCCAAAAATTGATATGTATCCGTATACGGCATCTTTGTTTTGAAATCACTGTGTCTTGTGTCTTGTTCTGTTACCGAATTAACGTCAATTCACTGGTTTCAGAAGTTTAAAATATTCAAAATGTGGAGACAAACGTTCATCACCAATTACATTATTTCATAATCATATGGAAGTAACAAACAGGTTTCTGATGAATCTGAGAGCCTTACTACTAACCAAGTGGAAACAACAAACTCCATATCAGAGGAAAATTAAAAATACAATGAAGAATGGAATATCTTTGCGAGCTGAAAGTGAATTTTCATCATGTTTGTTTTCTCTCGAATTTTCTGTCTTATCTCGATCAAGATGACGCATTCTTCCGTCTTGTTGAGACATTATTTTTTAGGAGGAAATCTACTTTTGACTCGTTCGATACAAGAGACGATAATTTCTTGATTTGGTGGCAACAACTATTGTTCAGAAATGTTTGAAGCAGAACTGCTATTTTTACTCGTCATGTATACAATACATGACGCCTTGAAAGACAAATTTTGCAGAAAAATATTTTTCATGATCCTATTTTATAGGTATTCGCATTTCTAGTGATATCTAGGTTTTTACGTTCATTTCCAAAATGAGGATTTTCCTTTTCGTTGAATGACGAAGGTGTGGTTTGAGATCATTCATTTCTGAAATGCATCTGTTCATTAAAAATTTGTCACTTATTTTTTAATAAAAGTTTGAACATACAACTTATTTTCAAGGTTTACCATCATCATCGTATAAACTTGTTTTTTATTTTTTTTTTGTTATTTTCACTGTTAATATTGAGAAGTATAGTTGAATTTCGACTTTTTTCCTCATATCTAAACATGTTGTTATTGAAGGCTTTGAAACACAAAAGATTTGTTTCCACTTAAATCAGCCAACAACGTTTTTACGAAAAACTCCAATTTTCTCAGTAATAAAACATAACCAATAACTTGAAATTAATTATTTTAGTAATTTGTGCCAAATAACATTTCACACACGAGTTATGATTATGCAGTTTAGAAAACCAAGCTCAAATTTATAAAATTTAGTAAATTGCTGAATACCATAGCTAACAGAGCACGATATATACTTGATTTGGAACGCGGTACCTTCTTTTCCGTTGAAACTGAGACTACTTTTCAAGAAATCGTGCATTATTTACTCTTGCAGAATGGCAAACAAAATATTCTCCTTAAGCTCAATTAATTTTTTTCCAAAACGCAGCCCTCTGTTGACACCTAATTGCTATTCCCACCAAAACAAAGAATAATGTCAGTGAATTTCATTAGTTCAGACTTCCATTGTCTGATTTGATATAATATAAAATGATTTGAAATCTCTGAAAGAATCAATGAAATCATAATGAATAGTTGAAAATAACAATTATATCAAGCATGAAAAATACAAGCAACAATTGAAAATTGAAAAGAAATTAAAAAAGTTCAAGCCAAGTTTCTTCACGACGTTTGGATTATTAGTAGCCAGAATCGTCTTTAGGTGATAACTGGACTTATTCCCCCCAGAGATGACTATTTATAGGTCATTATAATGCTTCCACCTATCCCCTTTACTCTCGCTCCGCTCCACCGGTTTAGCGGGAGCTGACCGTTTTGCGGAAGTTGACCGTTTTCCGCTTGATTATGGGTTTCCATATGTTGCGCATCTCCACACTAGCTTGGCTCTATACGGCTTCTTTGAATTTCCTCCTGAACCAGTGTTCCTTTCTATGGATCTCAGCTTGGGATCACTTGATGTTGATGAGTCCAGATTTGCTGATTTCGCCACGCTGCGTATGTTTCTTGTACTCGGTAATGCAGACTTTCAATGGCCTCTCACTTTCACCAATAAAAGATTTTTCGCACTCGCAGGGTATCCGGTAAATGCAATCCTTAGAATCGCAGTCCGCGTTTGACAGCTTAGTTTTCGCGAGGCTGCTACGGCTAGTGTTTCCGGATCAGAAGCAGGTTCTGATGTTGTACTTGGATCCAATTCTTCCTATCCTTTCCGACAATCCTCTGATATAGAGGAGTGCAAGTACTGGTTGTGACGGCTACTCTTCCTTGTGAAGCTCTTGCTGTCTTTCAACCAAGGTCTGTTCCACCATCACTTTGGAGTAACCATTTCGTTGAAGTTTTTTAGTGATGCCTAGTTGATTTTCGAAACCTTCTTTCGCATTTTCCACTATTCATTTTATTGATTTTTCCAGGGATTTATTTGAAATTATTTTATATCATATTAGACAATGGAAGTCCGAACTAATGAAATTCGCCATGAAAAATAGGTAACCACCTTCGGACAAACATTAAATACTGTCAGTGTTGATGACCCCAATTATTGAAATATTCCAAGATTGTTTTTTTAGGTCAGGTCCATATTTACAAGCTGTTTCAATTTTAAATTTCGAGATAGATATAATGAGCATTGACCTGATGCAAACAATTTTCTATTCAAGTGAAATTCAAAATGTAAATCAGATTATACCTTACACACCTGTTCAAAAAGTAATTAAAGGTTCAGTCTTGAAATATTGTATTGTAGAATTTATTTTCATCAGTACATAGTGAGAACTACGTGTTTAGATTTTTTCAATTGATGATAACTTACCAGTTTCGGCAATTTTTTCATTTCTCTCTTCGGGTTGCAATTTTTGTAGAGTATGCAAACTCCTCAATCTGCCTCTCACCCTAATTATCATACCCATTATCGTTAACGAAAACGCATAACACACTGAATTCGGCTTCAAATACGTCTCCCAACTTGACACTAAACCTCCACGTTTTCAGTTTTCTGACGCTGAACTTTCAGCAGACGCACTGAAATAGATTTCAGGAGAATCTTTTCCAATTCCTACTCTTTTCTTATTATTGTGAATGCGCCGACTGCGTTTTATTCATGTTTTGATAAATATTTATCTCACTGTGGCGTTTTTTTATTTGTGCAAAATTTTTCATGGGTTATTTATGTCTCTTGGCAACTGGAAGTGTGTTGCCAGTTGATTAGAAAATACCCAAATCTCGGATTCAATTTATAATGAATTTCATTTGTGCGGACTTCCTTTGCCTGATCTAATATATAAAAATGGATGTTTGTTGGTTGGTTGGTTGGTTGGTTGGATGGTTGGTAAGTGATAAACTTCTACATCGCTCAACCGATCGTGATGAAACTTGACATGTATAAGTAATTTTTCATAGAGAAAGTTTTTAGGCGATCAATTTTTCTGTAACTAGCCACTAGATGGCGCTGTAGAACAATTTTTTGAAAGCACTGTTCTATAACGCTGCGCACTCCTAAGTTCGTTGATTTTGATCCTGTCAAAACATTGGAACAGCAGCGATACAGCAGCATAGTACTAATTAGTACTACAACTACCAAATTCTACGCGGGCAAAGCCGCGGGCAACAACGAGTATTAAATAAAATGATCTGAAATCCCTGTAAGAACTAATAAAAAAAAAGAATTAAAAAGTAATATCTGAAAATAACAATCATTTTAAGAAAAAAATCCTGAAATGAAATACGAGTAAAAATAAAACAATAAAAAGTTGAAAGATTCCAAGCCAAGTTATTTCATGATATTTCGAATGTTAGTATCCACAATCATCTTCGGGTGATGACTGGACTACTTCCTCCGAGAGATGACTATTTATGGGTTATTCGAGTACTTTCACTTATTTCCGTTTTCTTTTTCGCCCTTCACCGGTTTAGTGGGAGATGTCCGTTTGGCGGGAGTTGGCCATTTTTCGCTCGATTATGGGTTTCCATATGTATCTCTATGCTAGCTTGGCTTAATATATTGTTGGACAACATGTATGCAGCTTCTTTGAATTTCCTCCTAAACCAATGTTCCTCCCTGTGTATGATCTCAGCTTGGGACCACTCGATGTTTTTCCTTGCAATGGTTGTATTATGGGGAGTAAAAATCCAGACAAGTTTTGAGCAGCCAAATCTCTGGAGCTGATGATCTGTCTGAGTAATTATGAAATTACTAGGCTGCTGTGTACGAAACTGTTATTGACAACTGAAAGATGAAGTATTGACACAAGATGAAGGACCGCCAATGGGATCGTCACTTTCACCAGTCATAGCCAGACGACACCTTTATAATATGGAACATGGGAATACTGAACTAGACGCCTTCATTAATCACATCAACAGACATTTCATCTCTCTCACAATGGAGTGGAATGTCCACAACGAGTTGCCATTCTTAGACGTATTGGTGAAGAGGACCTACACTAAGTGGAAAACATCTGTATATCGAAAACCCACTCACACAGGGCAGTATCTGAACCACGAATCCAACCACCATCATTCGAATACAAGAGGAATCAAGACTCTATCAGACCGTGCTTTCGGGCTCTTTAATACAAAGTATTACGAAGAACAAAATCAGATCCTGCTTCAGATCCGGAAACACTATCCGTGCAGCCTCACGAAAACTAAACCACCAAACGCGGACTGCGATTTCAAGAATTGTATTTACCGGATACCCTGTGAGTGCGGAAAATTCTATATTGCTGAAACTAAGAGGCCATTGGAAGTTTCACATTGCTGAGCACAAAAAACACACACAGCGAGGGGAAACCAGCAAATCAGGAATAGCAGAGCATGTTCGGGCCCATCAACATAACATCGAGTGGTCTCAAACTGAGATCATACACAGAAAGGAATATTGGTTTAGGAGTAAATTCAAAGAAGCCGCATACATGTTGTCCAACAATGTATTTAGCCAATCCGGTTTAGTGGAAGATTATGGAAACCCATAATCTTCCACTAAACCGGAAAGCGGAGATAAGAGAAAGTACTCAAATGACCGACAAATAGTCATCTCTCGGAGGAATTAGTCCATTCATTATCCGATGATGATTGTGGATACCAACAATCAAAACGTTGTGAAGTAATTCGGCCTGGAATCTCTTAAATTTTTATTTATTGTTCAATTGTTCTATTATTATCTGTATTTTATTTCACTATTTTTTTCATTTCAGGTGTTTTGCTCAATGTAAATGTTTTATTCGCCTATTCTTTTTTAGTTCTTCTTTTTTTATTAGTTCTTTCAGGGATTTCAAACCAGTTCAGGTTTCAGACAATGAAAGTCCGAACTGATGAAATTCATCATGAAACATTGTCAATCATCTTCAAACAAACATGTACTTATATTTCTACAGTTTTGTGAGAAAAAGCACAAAACTGAAGAAATCCAAAATTATTCTGAATAACTTTGAAAATATTAGGAAACGAGAAGATAATGACAATAATTACATAAAATACGAAAAAAGAGAAATACTGTGTCAGAAAAACAAATATACATCATACAAGAAAACCAAATGTTTACGACAGATAAAATAATTCATATACATAATGTATACATTGATGTGAGAGAAACAGAAGATAATGACAAAAGTACAGAAAAATGGCAAGGAAGCAGGTTTATACTTCAATCCCCTATCTCAGGGGAAGAGATACTTATACATTTCAAACTGCCTTCTTACAATGATTTACAAGAAAGACGCAAGAGTATTACCTTATTGAACATGATAATACACCATACAACAAATATTAGATAGAAAAAACAGATCTACAGCGGTTTTGCTCACTGTTTTCTTCGATTCTGTGGCATAGTGCATCATAAGTTCTTGCCACATGGACCTACGGTCAATAAAGAGTAGGTATTATGCTCTGCTTGTGAGAAGCAATATGAAGAAAATATCCGGTATTTAGGAAAAACAATTTATGGCTTTTGCATCACGATAATGCACTTTCTCACTCGTCATTACTCGTTCATAGTTTTCTGGTCAAAAATAACACCGTTATCACGCCCCAGCCACCGTATTCACCAGATTTTGGCCCGAGCGACTCTTCTCTGTTCCAAAAATTGAAGAGATCCATTGAAGGATGGTGATTGAGGCGATAGAAATGGATGAATGAATAAATATATATTGTTGAACAGACATTGATGTGAACAACAAACAAAGTGAACAACAAAGTAAACAACAAAAACATAGACTAAAGACGATAGATAGGGCATTCATGGATTTGGGTAGAACTCTTCGAAAAAATACCTACAAAAATATTTATGGGAAATTCCGGAGAAGTAAGAAAAACATTCTGAATGATCCAAGAAATATATGAAGATAAACCAAAACGGAAATTAATAAATCAACATTATTAGGAGAAAAATGGAGGGAAAGAATTGAAAAAATAAAATTTTACGTTGGTTTTCGATATCTAAAAAAAACTGATATTTCAAAGGATGCATGTGCTGACGATGATCTAAGCAGAAAGTCAATAAGTTTTACAAAAAATCTTTAAAATTCTTATTTACACACAAAAAATATGTATTAATAATAATAACAATAATATAGCATCTAGCAACATATATATCTTTGTATGTTATGAAGAAGATTTGATAAAGTAAGTATTGTCAATCCATAGTACCGATTGTGATGAATTTCTCTGAATTAGCTGGAAAATAACGTATCACTTGTTCACTGAATGCTATGAAAAATCATCAGTTGCACTACGATTTTCAAATGCTTTTTCCGATTTCTCCGTCAATCGATTGAACAATTCAGAAACTACTAATACTTTTTGTAGAGAAATCATTACTTTCACAACGGCAACATTGAAAAAAATATCTGAATTGAACTCATGGCGGGATTTACTACGTTATTCCTATTCTGGGAAAGTAAACATGTTTTCATTTTGGATTATATTTTGTTTTCACATGAGATGGAACTGAGTGGAATGGGCGATGAACATTTACATATTCTTGGAATTCAAGTCAATCTTCCATTGGGTCAGCGCCCTTTTAGTTCCAAGACAATCTCTTTCAGTGCTTCACAGACGTTGATTAGAATCGTACCTACCATTTTACTTCATTTGATCATGTTTTTTCGCAGATTTCAGTTCAGGTTTGCCAATTTACAGAATCAACTAAGGTCAAAAATTATGGATTAACAGAGATTTTCAAACGATTTAATATAACAAATGTATTCAGCCATATAGAACTCAATGGAAAGTACTAAGGTTCAATGTCTCAGAATAAAATGTTACGTACTATGATCATATAATGTTTTGATGATAATGAAAGTAACAATATCACTATTTGTGCGATATCAATCCTGAAAAACATTTTCTTTTATGAACGAGAACAGTATTACCAACATTATTAACAAGATCACGTGGAATGAAAAATGTAAATTCTTTAAGGAATTTTCCCTCTGATAAAACAACTGCGATATATTGATTCATATTATGTATAAATCAATAATTCTGCATCAGATTGTACATTTCTTTCATACAAACTTCAACCACATTTGAAAGTTCACTGCATTGAATGCTCAAAATTATTAATCTTTTCCCAAAAAGGGTTCAGTTCAACTAGGTTTCGTTCTGGGCCCACTGTAAATCTTAATAAGCGATATACCTTAAAGAAAAACACGTGCAAATTTGAGCAGATCTTTTCTGGCGATTTCACGACCTTCGACATTCGACCTACTTTTAATGAAACTTCAGTTTGTTTGCAATTAAACTACTATTATGTGGTATACACCACATAATCGTATCCTATGAATGGAAACAGTCTCCAGAAAATCGAAACATTGTATGACTCAAATTGTGTCTTATCTCAGTCAAATTATATTTATGCATATTATATGTCCCTGATTGACAACAACGTGAGATCTATTCAGAATGTCCAAACCTTGCCCAGGAACTCCAGTGGACCTTTTTGTCTCTAACAGAATCTCAAGCACAGCTTGTCAAATCTAAGAAGCGACTTCAAAGTCTCGGCTTAAGACCTTCCTTAAGATGCGCGTGGTAGAAAACCCTTAAAGACGATCGGAGCTCAGTCTTAACGACAATCTTAAAGTGTCCACTTCAGTGAAGGATAGATAGTATGCGACAAAAGTGTGTGCTTTAAGAA